ATTAATGTTTGAGTCTGATATGAATCTTCTTCAGTTTTACTGCTTACCATTTAGCATAGAAGCTTGACATAATTGTCAGCATGCCTCAGACAAGTCAGAAGGTTCCAACATAGTAAGTCAAAGCCAGCTTCCAATTCCAGTTCAGACCCTCTTTGAGGCAGTCAGAGTCAGATTCCTCTCCTGCTAAGGGCCAAATGATGGACAGCAAACCACTCATCTTGAAACTTACGACCTATTTGGGCTGTTGCCCTCCTGGAATGAGAAAGAACTAGGTACTACAGAAGATGAAAGTGGATGGCACAGTTATTACTGTTTGTGTAGATGGGGAAGTGTCCTGAGTGAGAGTGATAGAGCATGAGCCTTGATAGAAGGTGGGTACAGTAGCAGAGAAAGCTTAAGTGTGAGATATTGGAAAGAAGAGATAGAACTTATGCTGACAGAGTGGAGAAGGACATGTACCTTCTTTACAGTGCTGGGCATTTCTCTAGACGGCTCAGACTGCTTTAACCCAGATGGCAACCTCTGACCAGCCTGGCTTAGTCTGTTTTTGTGGCCTCCACTGCTGATTTTGAGGGAAGAGGAAGTCCCTCCTGTGCACCACCCTGTTCACAGAGACCTCCACAATCATGCGTGCAAGTGGGGTGTCGATTTCCCCTGTCTTCCATGTCTAGGGCAAATACCAGCAATCATGCAGGTTAACTCTGGACTGACTGTGCCTTTCCAGTTTCACAATGAGCTTTTAAAGATGGATGCATGGAATGCAAGTGAATTCCAGAATATTCACTGAGTGGTGTGATGTTCTGGTGCATGTTATGATAAGGCAGAAAATGGACATGAAAGACATAGGGGCAGGGTGGATAATAATGACGCGAGTTTGGTAAGATGGGGCAAGAAAATTTGCTGGGCCACATGGCAAGAAATCCTCCAAAATTGTGATGCAACTATGACATCATCAAAAGAACTTAAAACTGTAGCCCAAAGAAAGGAGAATACAAGAGTAAGCTAGTATATAGCTATAGAAATGTGAAAAGAAAAATATTAACTCAAATAAAAGTGGACAAATCAGAGTCAGGAGAAATTATAAACAGGAATAACAAAATTAAGAAAACATTAAATTAAAATATTGCATTCACAGTAGAAGGCACATTATTCCTTTGAAACTATCAGATATTTCCAGAATTTGCACATATACCCAGAAGTTGCTGTCAGTGAATCTAAGCTTCTCCCAAGGACGTGTTGTTGAAGTGCTGTTAAATCGCAATCAAACAAAAATTAAAATGATCCAAAATTCCACTCTTACATTCTTATTCCTGCTGTAAAAATTATTGAAAAAGTTACATCGTGTTGACTGAAGTATTACCGGGCTTTTAACAGTGTTCTATATTCATAATTATTGACAAGGAGTCCCACAGGCCCTGTGAAAGTAATTTTACATTTGTTGAATGTCAGATATCTCCACTGTCAGAAATATTACATTTTTAAATGCAATTTAATGCTGTAATAGTTTCACTTCTACCTTAATTCCATGTCTATTTTGCAATAACATTTCATTACCTGTAAAATGTAAAACTTCAGAGTGAAGTAATTCATCAGTCCTTACTTCCTGGGCTGCTATCTGAGAGAATACTTCAATGTGATTGTTTGCTTGATTACATTGCTGTTGAATACCTGGAAATCTGTTTGACCTTATGTTATATTCAAAATAAAATTGGGAAAGATGTGATCTGAGCCACAGGTATTGCTTGATTTTTGTGAGCTGTTTTCTTTGAGTTCAATGGTGCTTCCCCACTGACAGAAAATTCCAGCAATAAGCCAGAACCATGGAAAGCAGAAGGTACAAGAAATGAAAGCAATGTAGGGCTACAGAGATAGTGGAACAGAGGACATATTTTGAAGAGACTTCTCAATGGAGAGGAGATTTTTGAGATAAGTTAACGACGATATGGGGAGTTGGAGTCAGTTTGATATGAACAGTTTTAATGCATTTTGTAAGCATCAGATTGTCAGGATGGCATTTTAACAAATTACAGAAGTAGGATAGAAATTAGGAGCCTATCATAATGAATTGGTGAAGTTGACCTTGAAGATGATAAGTCATCAAAAAGAGTTCCAGTGGAGGGGTGAGGTTGCTGATGGAGGCAAGCAAAGTTGCTGGTCAAAATAGGAGACTTTGGTAATAAGGCAGAATTTTGAGGTTGAAGTTGAGCACCAAATAGGAAAACAGTTTGCCAAGTTGTTGGGCTCAGCCTAAGCAAGCAACTAAGAAGGAGTTGGAATCCATCTTTAAGATTCTGATGATGCCAACTTCGACAAGGGAGCCTCCAAAATCTTCACCTTCTTCCTCAACCAAGGATTTTCCAGCCCTGTAGTTGACAGAGCCCCTAGTGAGGTCTGACCCATCTCCTGCACTTCAGCCCTCATCCTCCCTCTTCCCTCACACGACAGCAATAGGGTCCCCCTTGCTCTTACCTACCATCCCACCAGCATCCACATCTAGAGGATCATTAGCCACCATTTCTGCCACCTCCAATGGGATATCATCACCAGACAGATGTTCCCCTCCTCTCCCTTGTCAGCCATCCACAAGGACTGTTCCCTCTGGAACATGCTGGTATACTCCTCCTTCACTCCCAACACCCCCATTGCCCCATGGCACCATCCCCTGTTACCACAGAAGGTGCAACACCTGCCCATTTACTTCCTTCCTCCTCAGTATCCAGGGGCCCAAACACACCTTCCAGGTGAAGCAGCACTTTACCTGTACTTCACTCAATCTAGTCTGCTGTATTTGTTGCTCACAATGAGGTCTCCTCTACATTGGGGAAACGAAGCATGAGCTGAGTGACTGCTCTGCAGAACTCCTACGTTCTATCTGCAAAAAAGACCCTGAGCTACTAGTTGCCTACCACTTCAACACACCACCTTGCTCCCCAGCCAACACCTCTGTCTCAGGCTTTCTGCAATGCTCCAGCGAAGTTCAGCGCAAACTGGAAGTACAGCACCTCATTTTCCGCTTGGGAATTCTACAGCCTTCTGGACTCAATATCGAGTTCAACAATTTCAGGGCTTGAGGCATCTTCTCCCATTTCTTTAACCCAACCCCAGCACACCAGACCTTGTTGCCACATGGTCTGCTATTATACTCAACCTTTTGTTAGTCACTAATAGGATCTCTACAGTGTGGAAACAGGCCCTTCGGCCCAACATGTCCATACTGACCCTCAAAGCATCCCACCCAGACCCATCCCCCTACACACTGCGGGGTAATTTAGCATGGCTAATCCACCTGAAAACTCGGAGGAAACCCACACAGACACGGGGAGAATGTGCAAACTCCACACAAACAGTCGCCCGAGGGTGGAATTGAACCCAGGTCCCTGGCACTGTGAGGCAACAGTGTTAACCACTGTGCCGCCCCTTAGTAGCTGTTCATTCTCCTAGGCTGACCTTTATCCACTCCTTTGTCTGTCCAACTGTTCTCCTTTCTCCTTGGGCTCCATTTCCACCTATCATACACTCCTTATCCGTCCCCGCACCCTACCAACCTTTTCCTACTTGCCATCAGTTCTGAAGAAGTGTCATTGGACCCAAAACATTAACTCTGATTTCTCTGTACAGATGTTGCCAGACCTGCTGAGTTTTTCCAGCAATTTCTGTTTTTGTTCTATCTTTAAGGTGCAGAGTTTCCCTTGGGCATAGCAGCATAGTTTTAAGCATTGCCAAACTTAAACAGGCAAATTGTTAGCTCAGCAAAGATTTGAGTTGAAGATTGGAAGCCACAAGGTAAAGTTAGGTATTATCAACAGATATGGAAGCTTGACCCTATGCTTTGGTGATGGCGCTGAAAGCTAGCTTGTTAGCAGAAAATAAGACTGACCTAACAGTGGAAGTTTGAAAACAAGAGGAAGTGACCATGGAAAAGCAGGAGGATTACCCATTGCAAAGAAGTAGGAGTGAAACACTGTGGTACCAGAGAAAGCTGACATCAGTACTGAAAAAATGAATATTTTTCAATATTTTATAGCACTTTCATGGTACATGACTTTTGTCCTGTGTAAATAGGGGAAAATAGAATGACTTTGCTTCTGTACATTATAATTTTCTAATGCAACCGAAAATATTAAATGAATATGTACATTGATCCACTCTGACAATTTTGACATTGCAGTCCCTAAAGTGTGTCACAGTTTCAGACAGTGCTGCAGGCCAAACATCATGTAATTATTGTAGATAAAGGTCTCAAATATTAACCCCTCAAAAAAGAGCCGGAGAAGGAGAGGTTTAAAAATTAAAACTGGGAGAATTCATCCTCAATCCACTGTGTGTCCACTCCTGTCATTTTTATAAAAGTGAATTCTGTATGCGCTTGCAGCCTGCTTTGGGGATATGGAATAATTATTTATCGATTTTCATATTGCATTTGGAAATTTGATTTAAATGTAACAGTTTTTGGCCAGGTTACAGTGAAATGGATGTGGAAGCTGTTGCCTTTGGCAGTTATTAACAGTCACAGTACTCCTAATTGGTTTTGCCACGAAAAAACCTTTGGCACCTCAACAAAACTATAACATCCTTCCTGTCTATCACAGCCTGTCCTTATTGAACACTGCCTCCAGTTCCCTTCAGACTCTGCTAGCCCAGTGGTCCCTGGCTTGAGTTTTTGCTGCAGGCTTGTCACCCAGCAGCTAACCAGTCAGCTTGCTGACTGTCAGGTGAGAAACTGATGAAGAAAATCTTCTGCTATAATAAAAGCCTCTCCTAACTCTGCGTCTTATGGGGTTAATCCCACTACCACATTCCGTCACTTCATTCTTTTGTCCTTGTAAATTTTGGGGCAAAAATGTTAATTACATTTACTTTTCAAGAGCAGCAATTGGTTCCCAATTAGTCAAAATCACCAGTTTAGGGATTTAATGTTGTATTCTATTTTATTATGTTCTTGCTCTGTGATTTGAAATGTATTGTGTTTGTTGAATGGTAATAGGTTTCCTGTTGTTTAGGCTTTGTTTAGACCAGTAGCCATGATGGTCCCTGACTACGCCATGATTGCTGAGATTTCTCTGTATTCCTTTGGGTTTAGCAACGCCAAAGTCCTTGCAAAGAAAATTACCTCAACTTTCAAATTATCCTCTGAGCAACTCAGTTCACAGGTAATTTAGAAATTTAAAAGTAACAATGTTCTCTTTACAATTCAATATCTAAGCATATCTTGAGACTCTAATTGGACCTGTTTGGAAAAATGTTGGATTACCTAAGCAAAAGTTATTTTTCTTTAAAAGAATGTTGAGTAACAATGTAGATTGACCTTCAAGGTACCCAAATATGTCATTAGGCCATCTGCATTTGAGGCTATCATGATGAAAATGATGCAATGGTAGTGTCCCTGCCTCTGAACCAGAGGCTCCTCATTGATGACAAGGAAAGTGTCCTCATGATGTGGCCAAACTTGAGTATCAATCTGCAAACCCATCCAACAATTAGATTTTAACAGTGAGAGGGATTCCTGATCAGACACATGATAAAAAAAATTGGAGCACCTGCCATCGCTATTCATATCTCCAGATACCCAATGTTGCAACAAGGACTCCTTTGGGGTGCTGTTGGCTCAGTTGACTGGATAGCTGGTCTGGATTAAATTGGTTCCAACACAATGATATTTGGTCATCATTCCAACTAGGGTGGATTTCGAACCTGCCTCCTTGCCCTATCCATGGTGAAGATGGTGACGCAATGGTTTGGACCTGCCTTTGGGCAGAGAACCAAATAAGGAGATAACACAAGTGGTGCTCACATCTTCTTGTTCCTAAATTACACATTCCTTCTAAACAATGGCAACATGTCCTTTGTGCTGGCACATATCATCATGGTGACCATTGGTTACAGCATTTTTGCAACTGATGCTAATACTGAAAACAACAACAACGTACTGCACATATAAGGTCCACATACAGCACTTGTGGCAGAACCTGTTTCTCCCCAAGATTTGCCCCTTCAACTATGAGCCTAGAGGTACCAAATATACACACACCATTTAAAAAGGATCTGTTTGCTGCATGTCGATCACCTTTCATACATGGAAGAATGCTGGAATGATAAACATAATTTTGTTACCAGACACATCTGTGACATTTAAAACAAATGTTGCAGTATTATAGAGCCATCCAGTAACTCTTCACAAGTTGCTGGGATGCAGCACTGTGGCCCCTAACTTTTCTTTTTCATTGTACTGTGCTCGTACTGACCTGAAGGGCACACAAAAATATTAGATGGCTACCTTATATTAGTGTATAAAGTTAGTTTAACAATGGTGTAAGCATTCAAAATGCCACAGGACTGCATTGTTTGCTCTTAGTTTGCTTCATCCCAAAGACCCCTAATTTTAGATTTACATGGGCTCCTCAGTGTGGTAGACAACAATTGTCAGTGTTCCCATTGCACTGGTGGGATCAGAGTTATTTGCTTTACTGTTTGGCTGGCATGGCTCTCTAAAGTCCCAAGAAAGGGATGAAATTCTCAGCTTAAAACAATTAACGTTTCTCCCACTGTTAAATTGCCACACAACAGCCATAAGGATCAAGGGCAGGGATTAAAGTATCCTGTAAAACCTAGACTAAAAAAAGCAAAGAACTGTGGATGCTGGAAATCAGAAACAAAATCAGAAATTGCTGGAAAAACTCGGCCCATTCAGCAGCATCTGTGGAGAGAAAGCAGAGTTTTCGTTTGTGCTCCAGTGACCCTTCTTCAGAACTGTAAAATGTAGTCCAGTTTTTCAGATCAGTGACCTTTGAGCAGAATGCAGCATCTACATCATATTGCTTTTGCCCCTATAATGTTTATTCATCTGCATGTGTCACTGTCCATTAACTTCAGAGATTAGGCTGTGAATAGTCTCAAATGGAAGCTTTAGTTGCGCATGAGCATAAGATAATGCAGAGTATTTTTGAGGGATTCAAAGAATTTCATAGCAACTATTGCACCAGGAATACAGCACAATCAATGGTGTAAAGTTTTCTAGGACTTATTCTCATTATTAATTGGTGTCTCTGCTACAGGATCATTATGACTTTGGAATGAGAGCTGTAAAAACTGTGATCTCAGCCGCAGGAAACTTGAAGAGGGAAAATCCAAATATGGATGAGGTACTAAAATTAATGAAGCAACACTCTCATCACAAAATTAATTAGTACTTCATCAGTTCTTAATCTCCAGACTGAGTTATAGATAGAAATAACATAGAACTACAGAATTGTTACAGTGCAGAAGGAAGCCATTCAGCCCATTGTACTAATGCTGGTTCTATTAGCTGGTGCCAATCTCCTGCCTTTCCCCACATCCCTACGTACCATATCTATCCACATAATCATCTAATGCCCTCTTGAATGCCTCAGTTGAGCCTGCCTCCACCATATTTGTAGGCAGTGCATTCCATCCCTAATTACTCCCAATGCAAAAAAATTTTTTCTCACATCACCTTTGCTTTGTTTGCACATCACTTTAAATCTGTGCCCTCTTGTTCTTTTTCCGTTTTATGAATGGAAACAGTTTCTCCCTATGTACTCTCTCCAACCCACTCATGATTGTGAAACCCTCAATGAAATCTCTCAACTTTCTTCTCTCCAAGGAGAAGTCTCAATGTCTTCAAATTGTCCTCATAACTGAAGTTTCTCATTCCTGGAACTATTCTTGTAAATTGCTTCTGCACTCTCTCTAATGTATTCACATATTTTCTTTAATGTGGCATAAACAATACTGCAACTGGTCTAACAAATGTCTTGTACATGTTCAACGTCATTACCTTGCTCTTGTTCTCTATGTCCCTATAAATATGTTAAGAATTGAATAATAGCTAGCCAGTAGGTATTTACACATCAAATAATAAGTAGCTGGAATAATGGATTGTCAGAGAGTATTTCATGCTGATTATTAGGTTTTTGGATGCATTAATTTACACCATGACCACTGCAGATCAATTGTTCTGAGAAAGGTTCAGGCACAAGGCCCAACTGCTGGTTTGTTGGGGTGGCACTGAAAATGCACTTACTTTGACATTAGCAGATATGAGTGCATGAGAAGGGGTCAAGAAAGCTGCATCAGGATATGATTATGTTGAGCCTGCAACTTTCAATAATGCCTCAATGGAAACTCTGGAAATCCAGGAACAACATAAAGGACAGAGACCTGATGGCATTGGTTCTCTCTTCCTTTCCTTTGGCATAGAGATAGGACTGAATGTTTTTCAAGCAGTTGAGAAGCACATAGCAAATTGTTTTTCAATCAATTGGTGGGATGAGAATTAGAAGAGTCATGATTTGGATATAGCGCCTCTGAGTGCTACGTCAGATTCCCAACACCTTCTGTATGCACTGACAATTTAAAAGTGACAGTGAGGAAGTTAACCTGCAATCTACTTGCAACTGAGTATCTGCCCATTAAGCTCCGTGAGGAGCTTATTAGTGAATTGTGGAAGGCCAGGGAGCAATTTCAATTGACACATTGCTGAACCCGAATACCTTCTTGTATTTTGGTACAAAGCTGTTGGGGGGAATGCTTTTTCTGAGCAACATTTTTTGGCAATAAGGTTGTTGTCTCAGATAGCATGCAGTATCTTTTCACTGGGCCACTTCTCTAGTTCCCTGATGTACTGTCTACTGTATTCAGTCTGCCAATGGCAGGCCCAGTAAGGGCTGCCATTAATCTTTGAGGATTCTGCTCCACAGTCACTTTCCACCACCTGGAAGTACTCAGTGTCAATAATTAGGCACTGAGCTCAATGCTAGTCTAACTGGAGAGTGTGCATATAAGGAAACATAGAGATAACAGCAGGAGTAGACCATTCAGCCCTTTGAGCCTTCTCCACCATTTAATATGACCATTCCTGATCATGCAATTCAGTACCCAAATCCAACTTTCTCCCCATTCTGTTTGAACCTTTTAGCCCTGAGAACTATACCTATCTCCTTCTTGAAATCACAGACATGGCATGGATTGGGACCTGAAAATTATTGGAGGATTGGGTTCTGTCCCTGGATTGAAAATCTCATCCACTGTATTTGAAAAATGTATTTAGCAATTATCATACTAGTTAGGCCATCCTGAGAACTGGCTACCGGAACAGGGTGCCATTCCTACAATCTTATGCACTTCCATGTACATCAAGGAGACATATATAATCTTGCGTAATTTGTAGGAAAAGAGTATTTCATGCTGAATATTACATTGATGGATGCATTGTTTTACACCATGACTCCTGCAGACCAAATTTTAGGGGTGAAGAGATTTGGCATTGTATTGCTAGTGTTACTGACCGAACCCAACTTCCTCAAAATATATCAAGGAGATAGAACATAGAACATAGAACAGTACAGCACAGTACAGGCCCTTTGGCCCACGATGTTGTGCTGAACTTTTACCCGAAACCTAACGTCTATCTCACCTCCACCGCTACCTTATACTATCATCCATATGCCTATCTAATAGCTGCTTAAATGCCCCTAACGAAGCCAACTCCACTACCCTCTCCAGCAATGCATTCTATGCCCCTACCACTCTCTGAGTAAAGAATCTACCTCTGACGTCTCCCCGATATCTACCTCCTTTCACTTTAAAACTATGTCCCCTCGTAAAAGCTACCTCCACCCTAGGAAAAAGTCTCTGGCTGTCTACTCTATCTATACCTCTGATCATTTTGTACACCTCTATCAAGTCACCTCTCATCCTTTGTCGTTCTAAAGAGAAAAGCCCTAGCTCTCTCAACCTTTCCTCGTAAGACCTTCCCTCCAATCCAGGCGACATCCTGGTAAATCTCCTCTGCACCTTTTCCAACGCTTCCACATCTTTCCTGTAATGAGGTCATGAAAAGATCATCGCCAAAGGCCCTGCGATCTCGTCCCTCGCTCGCCTCGACCCTAACTTCTATCTTATTTAAAGGCAAATGTAAGGCACTATGTTCCAGAAGTGATTTGATTAGTTAAACTAGCAGGCTTCAAGCAAACACATTTTATTCTTATACCACACTTAAAATACAAACAAAAAAAGAAGAACTGGCATAACTTTAACTCAATCAAAATACTTAACAAAATAATATGATTTAAATACTATTTATCAACTGTTCCAATAAAGCCACATCCCATAAACACACCATTGCCATTAGCAAATTGTTCCATTGTTTAGAATTTAATTCCCCTTTGTGCACCTGGGCAGTAAAAATTACTACATTTCCTATCACTGTGCCCTATGCTGTTTATCATAAGATGTCAAGCCTTCCTATCTGAAATTACTCTACAGAGGCCAGGATCCCGTCACCAAGGCACCCTTTATTTACACATGAAGAGTCCTTGACAATGATCCAGCTCCCTCAGAGCCAGCTCTCACAGTGAACAAAATGTCTGACACAAAAACAAAGTTGCTGGAAAAGCTCAGCAGGTCTGGCAGCATCTGTGGAGGAGAAAACAGAGGTTCTGAGGAAAGGTCACCAGACCCGAAACGTTAACTCTGTTTTCTCCTCCACAGATGCTGCTAGACCTGCTGAACTTTTCCAGCAACTTTGTTTTTGTTCCTGATTTACAGCATCCACAGTTCTTTTGGTTTTTAAAATGTCTGACACTCCTGTTCTTATCTGTCGGGCAAAGCTACCCGATTGGACCAGATTAACATCCCCAATCAGGGAAGTCATATTCTATGATGTCCACCTGGCTGACCTTGTTTCCATCACTACATCCCTCCCACTCTGAGTCCGAGGCCATAGGCCGTTTTTTTTTTGTAGCTCCTCCTACGGTGTTTTACACCAGGTCAGGTTCCTCTAACCCTGTCTCTGATACAGGTGGCAGCATGTAGCTCGCCACTGCTGCCGGATTGTCTTGTAAGAAATTCATTCTCCTCTTCAAGCGACAAAGGCATCGAGGCGGCAGCATCCACCATGACCATCTCAGATTCTGAGACAAGCAGCGCCAATCAGGGAACTCATATTCTATGAGGTCCACCTGCTGACCTCGTTACAATCGCTACACTGTCCCTTTTACTACTGATTTTATTAGTTTTCACACAGCCCATCACTGCTATGTTTCAGAACTAAATGCAGTGATAGATGAATGTTTATATAAACTAACTAAATAACTTCCATTCAATATTTCTTGTGAATTGGAAGGCCCCTGTTGGACATACTGTTTAATAGCTTTGTATCAATTCCGTTAATGAACTGCAAAATATAAAGTCACCAAGAAATGTACTGTAGTTAAAGATAAAACAATGCAATCCAATTTTTTTAAAACATATAATCTGTGTTGTATTTCAGGAACTGATATGTCTGAGAGCCATTTGTGATGTGAATGTGCCCAAATTCCTACAAGATGACCTGAAACTCTTCAATGGTATTGTGTCTGATCTTTTCCCCAAGATCAAGGAAGAACCTATTGACTATGGAATTCTGGAAGAATCCATTCGAAAAATTTGTGTTAAGAAAACTCTAAAAGATGTTGCTGGTCAGTTATTTTTCACATCAAAAGAAGAGATGTCTTTTAATAAGTGGGGAGCAAAGAAAACATATGAATGCATGAAATATTTTGCAATATACAAAGAACTTATTGATGTAAAGTGAAACACTATCTCTAATTCAAAATTGAAAATATTTGGAATCTGTTTTCTTCAAATTGGACCCAAGCTAGTTTGTGAGACAGAAACCAAGACACCTTTCTTTGTGGATTGTATTCACACTCCCCATTACTACAGGAACTTTCTGTTGCTTTGTTCATTACCATAACGTTCAGATTTTCACACATAGCCCTAAATTCATCACTGGTAAATACCACACCTCTCCCCTCCCCTCTCCATTGTCAGTTAGGAATTTAGCCAGTGCCTTCAGTCTGGTCCCTTTCCATTTCCCAACTGTCTTCTTCACTATTACTGTTTACTGCTTACTATATATTATCGTAGAACTCCTAAATCTAACTGCCTATCTATGAAGTGCAAGATGAAAATGTTTGTTTCTTTAACCTATGCCTAAAGTCTCTTGCTAAAGGTGGATTCGCTACAGACCATGATAAAACGGAAGTTGCTGGAAAAGCTCAGCAGGTCTAGTAGCATCTGTGAAGAAAAAATCAGAGTTAACGTTTTGGGTCTGGTGACCCTTCCTCAGAACGGATTCCTGATTTACAGCATCCACAGTTCTTTCGGTTTTTATTCATTGTAGACTGTGGTGATGTCCTCCTTTTTTTATTACATCTATCATATTTATCACTGATCTCTTCTATAAGTTTAGTGTACTCATCATTCCTTACTTGTACATCTTTTAGTAGAAATTTTAACCTGTGGATGAGTTTAGAAACAGCCAATGTAGTTTTGAGATCATTAGTCGTTTTTCCTTTAAACACCAATCTCTTGAAATCAATATTATTGTCTTAACATTTTGATAAAGATGGTAGATCTTGTTAAAAAGACACGATAATGTCCAAAATGTGTAAAGCAATTGTCATTGTATTTGGTATTGAATTTCATTTCAACCTTTTAGGCAGCTGCCTCATCAGTAAGAGTATTTCACAGTTATGTCTATGTTGATAAAATAGTTTACACCAGCTTTTTTTTTTACAGGGAATCATCACAGTTTTGTGATTTCAGCGTGTTGTCAGCCACAAAACTGAAGCAGTTAGAACTTTCAAATTTGTTAGTCCTTATTATTGAAAGAATCTAGAAAGAAATATTTTAATCAATCCATTCCACACTCTGTGGATGTGTATCCGTGGCACAATTCAACACGATTGAAAGAGACTACAACTGTAACATTCATTGCTGGGTTGAAGCTTTTCGCAACCAGTATGATTCCTCTACCCAATTAGTAACACCTTCCTCTCCTTCTGAAACTTTCATGTTATGCGTAACTTTAAACACCTTGTTACTCTATTTAGGACAATTTATTGCCTAATGGCATTTTGAATTGCATCTAAAACAGCCCAGGCATTTCTGGGGTCCATTCTTCTTACATAAAACAGAAAACTGGGATTGGGAATCTAAGTGCCAGAGATATCCTGTCCCCCCTCCTTTTAGTTATGATTTTGTTTTCACAGTTAACATTTTCAGTTTATATAAGGACAATTCTCACATTGCCATTATCAATGAATCCATTATTTCTGTTGATGCTGAATTTGAGCTATGAAGACACTTGGGAATTAGTGTTTTCCTGGTTTTGTTTTTAAAGAAAGGCTTCTGACATCTGTTTCAAAATTATGTTTCTTACTGAAAAAGTAACACCAGTTAATTCAAGAATGTTCAACATGAGCACAATACAACAATTTAAAAACAAGCAAAGCATAGACATCTCCAAACATTTTTTCAAATCTTGATTTTTTTTGCTGTTAAATTACATTTTGTTTGCTTCTATGGAATAATTAGCTGGCTTTCTAAATTTATCAAAGTCTGTCTCTGCCTTGTAACCATTTAATAGATCATTTTTATTTTGCCCATAATTTTGTCCATGAATGTTAAAAGATTATCCAAACATTCATCCATGGAGCCTCTGGCTCCAGGAATACTTCACACTCGATCCAGCCTCCGGTGATAGTGTCAACGCCATATCTTATTTTTCTTTGGTAAGGGAACAACTTGTGTCTATATATCTACTTCATTTTTCCATTGATCGTGAGGCTCAGCTTCACAGATTCTCAGTGGGAAATCACACCGTACTTGACAATAGCTGAAAGCAACTCAAATTACAGCCTTTTACATGAAAAGAACTCTCAGTTTCTAATCTTCATTTTTTGGCAACCATACTCTACAACTGAGATCAAATAGGATCCAAGCCAGTTGGTGAGACAGAATTCAAGACCCTTTTCCTTGTGAACCAACAACTCCTCCCACACACTACTCCCACCTGTTCCTCTCTTATATCTACCCAGTCAATTAATTAAATCAGTTAACACCTCCAATCACCTGCTTAACTACTTGTTATACTTGACTCTGAATGATCCAAATTGGGTTTTTTGTCCCATGTTTTAAAGGGCTTACCTGTGAGCACAGCTTGACATGCACCTGCATCAGACATATTATTGAAGCAAAGAGGGGATTTTCCCACTTGTTTGGCTCACTTCGGAGGAATAACAATTACAGGGATTCCAAAACAATGAGTCCATAGAAAACAAGGCACTGTGACCTGCACCTGGTTCCTACTGAACAGATACTGTTTAGGTTATTTCAGTGAGAAAGCTGTGGGCAGGGATTAATTCTATTTCATTTACCCTCATGTTCCTCTCAGAATATTTAAAATACAAATCAACACCTAATGCTCGCCCATCTCCATGGAAAATTAGAAGACCCAATCTCTGAGAAGCCTACAATTCTTTTAATTTTCCTGCCCTTCCAGGATAGCCATGGTCTGGCCACGATCATAATCAGCATCTATACCAAAGGAAAATTGGCAGCCTCTTTCTTGCCGTGTCAATTTTTCTTCCTGTTGACTTCCATTGATCTGCTATAAACCTGTCTCCCATAGTTAACGCCATTGACTTCATCGCTCTAGTTTAGTATTAGTGTGGAAGAGGAGTGGGCAACAGGTAGACAGTATAATCTCCCTGCTTGGGGAAAACATTAATTCCCAGGGACCTTCGTAGAATCTGTCAATAGCATTCAATGTATCGAAAGGTATTACACCTAAAAACATAGTTGTTCCAAAACATTAGATCTTCAAAACAACTTTTTTTCTAGAGGGTAAAGAGAGTTGTGACTAGTTCAAACAACTACCTATGTTCCAAATTACCCATTCACCACAAAATTGAACATAAATAGTCATCTGGATGAGTAGACAATTAACTGCCAAGCTTTGTTTAAATTTTAAACCATGGAAGTTGGCTCTGATTGGTCAAAGCATTGCCTAGCAAAATGAACCAAAGAATGACTGTCACCTATGTTGTTGAGTTGAAACAGTGTGTGCCCATAGTTTTTTTCTTCTATCTGAAACGAACAAGGCTCAGTGTATTAATATACGTAACAAAATTGAATGTCAGAACTCGCATCCAAAGTAGTAAAGGACATCAATAAGGAACAGCTGAAAACAAAATGACCGAATCCCTCAGTTTTAAAAGATATAAGTTGTGAGTAATTAACTGAAAATTGACCATGCAAATCCAACAGATTTTTTTTGCAGTAGCTGTTTTTTGCTCAGGTTTATGTCACTAAACTAGCTGCATAAAAATTACAGTGTTCATTTTGCCCTGGCTTGAAGTGCAGTCTGTTTTTTTTTATCTGCAACACATTTGCTGGTGCTCCTCCAATTGAATATCAAACAGTTTCCATTTTGCAGCTGGCCTCAGGGACCCACATGCTGTCTAAAACAACATGTACATTCTGCCATCTGTGAGCTTATGTAATGGCAACTTCTACATCAGCATATCTAGAGTGTCCTAGCAATCTACTGATACCTCTCACCCTCAAGTACGATATCATGATAGAAGAATCATCAGCAACAACTCTTCTCATCCCATTTCCTGTTGGTAGATACAATAAAATGGGGACAGATTGTGGTGAATGGGTGTCACCATAATTTCCGATCCCTGTCTTGTCTGTCTTATGTCTGTTATTCCAAAAGTGGTAGTAATCTGGTTACTTTAATTGAGCAAAGGAATTTCAAACAAATGTGAATCAGAGATAGTAGGAACTGCAGATGCTGGAGAATCCAAGACAACAAAGTGCAGGGCTGCACTTTGTTGTCTCGCATTCTCCAGCATCTGCAGTTCCTACTGTCTCTGATTCAATTTTAACCCCACTGTGAAGCCTCTTCTAAGGAGCGTCTCTGCTCCTATGATGCTGCTTGGCCTGCTGTGTTCATCCAGCCCTGCACTTTGTTGTCTCAAACAAATGTGATCCTAGTTTTACGCACGATGATTTCACACCACTGTGATATAAAAATACCCTCACTCGTAGTAGCACTTGCGTGTTTTAAAAGGTTTTGTGAGAACCCCTACAAGGCCCGTAGGGAATCACTAATAAATCTCCTCATGGAGCTCATTGAGTATGAGTTCCCCTTGTAACAGGCAATAGCCTATTCAGCTGGAATTCATTGCCTGAGCCCTTTCTCTTGTGGTGCACTGGTAGCAGGTGCCAGGAGGCCATGGTGCCATGGTTCAAGTCCCACTTGTTCCAAGAGGTGTGCAATAGCGTCTCTTAACAGGTTGATTTTAAAAAATTTAAAAATAAGCAGAACCAGCAGTCCTGTTGTAGTGCAGTGGTAGCATTCCTGCCTCTAATCCAGGAGGCCCAGATTCAAATTCCACCTTCTCCAGAGGTGTGTAATAGCATCTCTGAACAGGTTGATTAGAAAATAATAAAAAAAAAAGACTCAGAAGGGTTCTGTGGCAAAGCAGTTACCCCTGCCCCTGAGCTAGGAGACCAGGGTTCAAGTCTCACTCACTCTCAAGGTGTGTAATAATATCTTCTCCAACCAGGTTGACTGAGAAAACATGTAGACCTAGTTGCCAGTAACAGGTTTTTCATGTAAACTTCTAATTGGCTGCACAGGCAATTGCTGGCGGTGGTTAATAATTTTAAGTAGTCACAGTGATTTGGTAGTGGGAAAGTAGTTCAGTTGTGTTTGATAATACTTCTGGATATAACAAAAAGCAGGCCTAGGGGCTCTTGAGGTGCAGTGTTAGTGTCCCCACCTCTAGACCATAAGGCCTATGTTCAAGATCTACTTATTCAAGAGGTGTGTAATAACATCTCTGAACATATTGATTAGAAAATATTCATAAAGCAGACTGGGTCTGCAGATCTGTCTGACCTGGGTTTGGACTAACCTTTGTACACCATGAGTAGTGGCTCTATTTTGGTTTTAACAATAGACAATGTTCCTTTCCAGTCTAGCTTCCTGAGTTATTATAAGTTTTGATACATACCTCTGCCATGAAAGTGATTGCATTTAGATATTTTCTAACCAACCTGTTCAGAGGTATTATTACACACCTCTGGAACAAGTAGGTCTTGAACCTAGGTCTCCTGGCCCAGAAGTAGATTCACAACCACTGCACTACAACAGACCTAGTGATAATGTTTATTTTGTCTAATCAACTTGTTCAGAGGTGTTATGACACACTTCTGGATCAGTTGAGACTGACCCCGAAGCTCCTGACTCAGAGATAAGGAGGCTACCACTGCACCACAAGGGCCCTAGTGATTTTGTGAATTCATGAAGCTAACATGAGAAACAACCGAACATTACTTTTCAAGATGCCCAGTTTCCAGATAGCGGTATGTTCCAGAAAGCTCTTTTGGATCCCCCAAGCTGTTTTGTAGACAACACTATCACAGCAAAAGGCTCACTCCCAGGCCTCAAGGCCTGACTATGCTACAATATTCTAAAAATGGACATAAAATTTGCATGAGGCTTCAGATCTAAACTGCGTCTCATTCTATTGAATTCAGATGAAGCCTGATGAATGAGTAGCATTCCGAAAGCTTGTGATTTCAAATAAACCTGTTGGACTATAACCTGAAGTCATGTGACTTCCAATTTTCCAACTATTGGCTTTAAGTGATTGGAAAATTGTGGTGCATTGGTAATGGAGGCCACCACCAGGAGGCCTGGCTTCAAGGCTCACATGTTTAAGAGCATCTGTGATCAGATTGATTAGAAAATATCTATACACTAACAGTGGGCATGAAACACAGCTGAGAACAAAGGTTAACCAAAAATATATATGTTATTATTTCAAGTCTTCTTTTGAATAAAGATAGATAAAGTGAAAAGTAATTTCAATATTTAATTTCTCATTGTAAACAAAAGCCAAGATATTATTTGTGATGTTGGCTGTTAGACTGCAAAAAGTAGGGAAAAAAATTTTACAAATGGCACTGCACTGATTACACTGATTACACATGTGCCACTATGTATATCTTTTGGGTTTAACAGACATGTAATTATCAACAATTCAGCCCTGATTTATGTTCCTCCTCTTCCACAGGTTTTGTGACCAAGTGCATTCAGTTATATGAAACCACAGTTGTCCGACATGGGCTGATGTTGGTTGGTCCTACAGGGTCTGGAAAGACAAAGGTAGGATACAACTTGTAGCAATGTTGCTGGTATAATAGGACCAAACCACAAATCATATATAATTAAGAGATGAGACTGATTCTGTTTTCAGGTTCTTCGTGGTGCTTCAGAGTTATACTTTAACTGGCTGTAACCAATTTAGTACTATGAGGAGGAAACCAGGGCCAATAAATCAACCACTTAAAGACACATTAACTGAAACAAAAGCTTCAAAGGAATCTTGTCAAATTAAATTGAAATGTCATTCCTGGGCTGATAATGTGCTACAGCTCCTGTGCTGTCCAGTGTCCCTTTTCTGACTTTTAGAAGTAAGGATGCCTATTCGGACTGAGAGCTGCTAAAGCCTCATAATAGACCAGAGACCTTTAGATCTTCAGTCTAATTCTCTTCCATGAGAACTACTTCAACTTTCATACTTTTTAGAAGTAAGTGAACTGAGCCAGAGAGAAAATTTCAAAAGTCAGGACTAAATCAGGGACCTTTAGATTTTCTGTTGAACGCTCTTGCATTTGAGCTATTTAAAGCTTAATGCAGGGTGAGAGCTGCTGAAACTCAGGATGCAACCAGGAACCATCAGATTTTCTGTCCAGTTGTCTCCTAACTGAGCTAGATCATTTTTTAATGGTGTTTCTTATACTGTTTTGAGCCACCAATAAAGATTAATAAACAAAGTCAGCTTTTTAAAAGGGACTCTAACAAAACTTCTTCCACAGAAACTTATCTAATTACACATTGGTCCTGGTACTGATGGTGCATTGCAGGCTTTGTAGCATTCACCAGTTGCAGAAGGCCATCATCATACCAACAGACACCATGTGCTCCCATTGCAGGGCAGAATGGGTACAGACATAACATGGAATAAGGCCAAACAGTTTTACCTGACAACACTCTCTCAGCTGGTTGCGTAGACCTCCTAATACCCACCTGGGCCAAGCCCAGAAGCAGGTCACAAGGAGGTTCTCAGATTTGTCTCCCACTTCCACAAGATCAAAAAAAATGCTAAACAGATATTCAGCTGCTTAACAGGGCACTGCTACATCATACAGAATGAGATCTGCTGAAACCTGGGACCTTTAGATTTTCAATCCAACATTTTTTTGAACAGAACAATTTCCACCTTCAAGCAGCACATCAGCTCCTGAAACCTAGGATTAAACCAGGGATTTTTTAAGGTAACACTGTCCTATCTGAACTATTTCAGCCTTTATAGTGCCTTCTTGAACTCTTATTGGCAGCCAATAAATACTAATAAACAAGTTAACTAGTATTTCATCACCTAATGGGGTATAGATAGATTGTACACAATAAGAACAGCTGAAACCTTGGCTTGAACTAGAACCATGTAGAACATCTGTCTAATGCTCTCTCAACTTTCTTGTAGTCTGGAAAAAACAATAAAAAGTAATAAACAGTCTTAGTCAATATTTAGCTATTTAATGGGACGTAGAATTGTCAAGCAGAGGTGCTGAAACCTGAGATTGAACCTTACATTGAACATTGAAACTTACATTCAAATTGAGCTATATCAGTTCTTCCTGAAAAGGTAATAATATCAGAGCCCTTGAATATTTGGATAGATAGTTGATAAGAAAGGCAGTGAAAGGTTATCAGTGATAAGCACTAATGTGGATTTGAGGTGACAATCGGATTAACATGATCCTATTAAATGGCAGAGCAAGCTCCAAATAGCCCGTTCCTTAGTCATACGTACTTCATAAGAACGGGAGATGCTGATGTCTGGGGTTGAACAGGGGCTTAACTCTTTAGTGTAGTGTTTTTTTTACTGAGCTATTTTAGTCTGCATAGTTCCTCTCGAAGGGGAAAGAGAGTATAAGTGTAAATTTCTTACAGAAGCATAGTTTTCTCACAGATCTGTAGTAAGGGACAAATATATAGGTAAGGGTTAAAAGTAAGGATTGAAAGAGCACTTGCTTGCTACTGCAGAGACAGGCATTTAGTTGGAAGATAGTTCCCAAGGGAACAGGTCGCGGGATGTTCCAGGCGGAAAACAAACTAGTCTGCAGATGTAAGTGGCATGGGGTCAGGGCTAGACACGATGAGTAACTGCATGTTTATGTTTGATAAAGGTTTCAATGGACAATAGCCCCCGGTGTGGTAGTGTAGGAGCCATATACCACTGATAGTAAATTGTGTGGTTGTTAGATTTACTGCTTATGCTAGATGTGGATGGTAATTAATATGGTTTTGGGGTTGTGTCAGGCTGTTTGTGTAATGGTATAAAATAAGTACTTTCTTACCATTGTGTTGGGAGAGAGTTCAAACTCCTAAGTGAGTCATGGACCCCCCCACCCCGCATCTACACCGGCATTTTGCTTGAATAAATTTCTTAAGTGCTGCTTTACTTTGTTGTCTCCGAGTCTCCAACTGCCTTTACAGAGGTCACTCTTACACACTTTATCTTCTTTTCCGTAACAAATAAATACTAATAAGCAAATTAGTCAGGATGCTGCCATTTTTGGAACATGAATCAGCTCATATAGAATGACACCTGCTGAAACCTTGTAATGAACCAGAGCATTAGGTCATCATTCTAACACTTTCCAAACTATGCTACTCAGTCTTTGTGCAAAACAAGAGCGTAACATACCTTTAGATCTTCACTTTAATGTTTTCACAATTGAGGTATTTCAGCTTTTGTAAGTTCTCTCTATACCATTTTCAATTACCAAAAAAAGACAAATAAACACACCAACTAGTATTCTGATGCTTAGCAGAACATAATCAGTTCATGCAGATTGAAGACTGTTGTAAAAACCGAAAGAACTGCAGATGCTGTAAATCAGGAACAAAAACAAAGTTGCTGGGAAAGCTCAACAGGTCTGGCAGCATCTGTGAAGGATAAAACAGAGTTAACTTTTCGGGTCTGGTGACCCTTCCTTAGAACTGTTCTGAGGAAGGGTCACCGGACCTGAAACTTTAACTCTGTTTTTTCCTTCACAGATGCTGCCAGACCCTGCTGAGCTTTCCCAGCAACTCTGTTTTTGTTCCTGAAGACTGTTGGAATCTGGGATTGAATCAGGGACCTTTAGACAAAAGTACTGCAGTGCTGGAGAAACATAGTTTATTATTATTATTAACGTTATTGAGTCCAGTAATTTCTCTCTGTAACTGAAAAGAGATAGAAAAATCATGGATTTTATCCTGTTGGAACGTTGGGTGGGAAAAAGGCATTTGGAGCAGAAAGGCAGATCAGGGAATGGTTAAGGGAAAGTGGAGATCAAAGGTGTCAGAAGACAAAGGGAGTAGTAAACTTTAGACCAACACTTTCCCAACTGAACTATTTCTGTCTTCAGGATCTTTAGGTCCTCAAACTAACGCTCCCCTTAAATTATTTCAAAGTTCACGCAGAAAAGCTGGAGAAATCTTGGCTTGAGTTAGGGACATCTAGACAAACGCTCCCAATGAACTGTTTCACTGGTTATCTAGAATGACAGCAGCTGAACATGGGATTGAACCAGGGACCAGTTAGTACTTCAGTCTAATGCTCTCCCAACTGAACTTTTTCAGCCTGCATAACATTTCTTTATAATTCTTCTGAGCAATTATTGAAGAGTAATAAACAAATCAATCATACTCAAAAAGAGCTACTGAAACCTGGGGTTAAACATGGGTCCTTCAGATGTTCACTCAATGTTCACCCAACTGAACGATTGCACTTCTCATAATTTTTAGAATAAGTAAACTCAAGCAGAGGAATTAACAAACTAACCAGTATTCAGCCACTTAATTGTCCATTGGTAGGTTACAAAGCACTGCTGAAACCTAGGATTGAATCAGAGCTCTTTAGTCTAAAATTATTCCACTGAGCTATTTCAGCCTTCACACATTTTCATTCATACCCTTTTCAGCTAATAAATGAATTAACTAGTATTCTGCCACTTAACAGTGCAGGATCAGATCATACAAAGTGAAAATAGATAAAACCTTGTTCTGAACTAGAGATCTTTAGATCTTCAGGCTAACACTTTCCCAACTGAGCTATTTCGGACTTTATACCACATAAAAGACGCTAAACCCTGATGTTAAAACAGAGATCTTTAATCAACATATTTCCCAACTAAGCTATTTCAGCCTTCAAAGTTTTGCTTTATACTCTTGTCTAACAAATGAGGACTATAACAAACTAACCAGCATTCTGCTGTTTAACAGAATAATCAGCTTATGTAGAATAAGCACTCCTGAACCTGAAACTCCTGAGTGAACTAGGGACCGTTAGATTTTAAGTTTAACAATTTCCTAATTGAAATATTTGAGCATTCATTCAGAATGTGAGCTGTTGAAACCTAAGATGAACCAATGGCAGTAAACTCTTCAATCTATTTTAGTCTACACAGAGCTTCTGTATAGTCTTTGGAGAAGCCAACAAAAAACAATAAATGTTAATCCATTATTCAGCCACTTAATGGAACATCATTAGTTCACTTAGAAGATGTTGAAACTTAGGATTCAACCAAGAATCTTTCAATTTTCTATTCAACATTCCTCTAAGTGTAAACTCTTTGGGTGTTAATGCAGCACAAGAACTACTACAATCCGGGATTGAACAAGGAGCTGTCAGTTTAACACACTACCCACTAAGCTTTTTCAACCTTACAATGAAGCTAGAGCTGCAGAAACCTAGCATTGAAGCTGGATCCTTTTGATCTTTGACACTGTCTTAGCTGAGCTATGTTAGCCTTCATGTGAAATGAGAACTGCTGGAACCCTGGAATAAACCATGGACTATTTAGATCTTCAATGTAATGCTCTTCAATCTGAGCAGCATAAAGTGGGTTAGCATGACAGATTTCCTGTCCTAAAGGGAATTAGAAAGCCTGATGGGCTTTTTCTTTAATTTGCATATTTCATGGTCACCATTACTAAACTGGTTTTCTATTCTTTATTGATTTAATCAATGAATTTAAAATCCCCAGCTGTCTTGTTCCATTTGAACTCATGTCTGTGGAGCACTGATCCAGCCTGCTGGACTATTAGTTTGGTAATATAACCACAATGCTACCATCCCTTGCCCTTCCCTTCTGAGGAAACAGGCTAGGCTAGATGTTTTTTTTTGTTCTGAAAGATTGATCTTCACCTGACTCTCTTATAATGTTTTCATGTCTAACTACTAGGTGCCCTTTGACAATGACCAGAAATCTTTCATCACCACCAAGAGCTTATTGCACGCTATTAATATCAATTCATGCTTATTCACTAACTTCCTGATAGTGGAAGAGAGAACCTTAAATTCCTGAAACCCTATGCATAGTCATATTGCAGCTCTGCATATGCATTTAGACTTTCTGTCTGCAAGAACTCTCTTGGCATTTACCTTGAACCTGCTATTCATTCATGGTGCTGTGTAGGTTCCTGATACTCTCTTGCCTGCTGATAAAGATCTTGCAGAAGCACTGAAATATATTCTCCACCAATTTACACATGGATGTCTAAAGGTACTTTGTGAAGGGTTCCACAAAGAGTTAGAATAGGGCATTTGCAGGATGTCAATGTGTAAAGTGGAGTGTCACAGAAATCATTTCTGGGGCCACAATTATTTACAATATTAATGACTTGGATGACAGAAGTGAATGTACTGTCGCCTAGTTTACGGGTGCTGCAGAACTATGTGGGAATACAAGGATAACACAAATAATCTACAGAGGGATATAAACAGGTTAAGTAAGTGAGCACAGACTTAGAAGATGAAATGTAATGGGGCAAAATGTGAGGTTATGCACTTTGTCTGGAAGAATGCAGGAGCTGAATACAATTTAAATGAAGAAACAGCAGAAAGCTCTAGTACAGAATATTTTGGGAGTCCTTGTGCATAAATCCCGAAAAGCTAGCATACAAATTCAACAAATAATAGTGAAGGCAAATTAAATATTGGCCTTTATTTCAAAGGAAATGGAATATAAAAATAGGGAAGTCCTACTAAAACTATACAAGGTAGTAGTTAGATCACAGCTGGAATACTGTGTTTCATCAAAGGAAAGATGTACTGATATTGTTGGCAGTCCGGAGAAGGTTGACTAAGTTGATATCAGGTATAGAAGGATTGTCTTAAGAGGAGAGAGGTTGATTCTGTTGGCCTGAACTCATTGGAGTTTAGAAGAATGAGGGGTAACCGATTGAATCATGCAAGTTTCTTAGGGGACTTGACAGGATAGATGTAGAGAGATTGTTTCACCTTGCAGGAAAGTTTCAGATCAGAAAACATGATCTGTTTGCACTGTAAGTGTTTGCCCTATTAGGACAGAGATGAGAAGGAATATCTCCTCTCAGAGGTTGTGAATCTGTGGAATTCTTTATCACAAGAGGTTGTCAATTCTGTATCATTAAGTATATTCAAGCCTGAGATAGATTTAAAAATCAGTCTGGCAGGAAATCAAGTGTTATTGGGAAAAGGCAGAGAAGTGGAGATTATATAAAGGTTATCAGATCAGCCATGATCTCATTGAATGGCAGAACAGATGGGCAGAATGGCATACTTATGATCCTACATGTTATGGTCTAATTAATTAAGCTTGGTATACAGTCAGAAATCCATGAGCCCTCAAGCAATTCTTTGCCTACTCTTTATCTCTCTGTTCATCTCATTTATACTTATCTGTTGCCTCCTCCATTTGTTTCCCTTCATTGATGTTTATTCTCTTAATAGATCTTGTCTCTTCTCCTAGCTTATCTGATTTCTTTGAATCAGATGCTTCCATACTGGTGCTTGGCTGATGCATATCTGGTGGGAATGCTTCCTGCTTCATCCTGGTACCAGCTGAATCATTTTGTCATCTGCTGATACAAACATAAGGGAAAAAATTTCAATATAATATGCAGAACGAATAACTGGATACACATGAGTAATGCCAAAATGGTACCATTGTTGGTAATTTGATGTGTTTGCCTATTATTTCAGTATATAAAAACGAATTAAAAATGAACACTTACCAGGTTGAATTGACACCAAGTGTAGAGCTTGTTGATTATCTGACAGCTAAATGTATTTCTAAATAATTGAACGTAATAGTTATGCATAATATACAGGGACAAACCAACCACTGATGCAAGTGGCATACAAATAAAAATGAGAATACCTGATTTTTGTAGAGCATGATGCTATAATTTAAAACTGCTGTCAAGCAATCAGTTCCTTCATAGTTAACATAATTTGGCATTTATTTTACAGTAGAATGAAAAAGTCTTCCTTTAGAATATTCAAATTGCACTTGTACTTTTGTTACCTTTTTACCTAGTGTTATGAAGTTCTAGCAGCAGCAATGTCAGCCTTAAGAGGGCAGATGTCAAACAGTGGTGAAAATTACGAAAAAGTCTCCGTGTTTGTCCTCAACCCTAAATCCATCACCATGGGTCAACTATATGGAGAGTTCGATCTTTTAACTCATGAATGGTAAGTATGGTTGGTTCATATTAAGCCAATACCACAGTGATAATGTAGCAATGTCTCTATATAATGCAGTAACACTGCAAAATTACAATAGTACTGCAGAATATAATCTTACTAATAATGCAAATCATAGAAATGGGTCAAGAATTAGTGTAAAGTGTAAATTCCATTAAGCTACTTGAATTCAGGAAATTAAAGCAGTGTGCTGTATTAAAAAAGGAAGTCTTGTGTTTTCATAGGACTTTCATGCCATCAGGTAGATATTGGCCAAGAAATCTAGGACAAGGAAGTACAGTTTCAGGGTAAGGGACCAATCATTTAGGATTGAGTTGAAGAGGAATTTCTTCATTCTGTACCCCATAAGGTTGTGGATGCTTTGTCATTAAAAATATTTAGACTGCGGTATACAGTTCTCTCAGTAACTTAAGGGATATGAGTGGCAAAGTGGAGTTGAAGCCCAAGATCAGCTATTGTCATACTAATTGGCTGAACAGACTTGCTGGGCCATGTAGTTTTCTCCTGTTTCTATTTTTTACATGTTTATGATTCTCCAAAGCACTTTATATCTAATTAAGCACTTTTTGGAGGTGTAGTCATTTTGTAATCAAAGCAACATGTAACCAATTTGCATACTGTAAATATTCCACGAACAACAATTTACGAATGGCCGGATAATCCATTTAAGTGAAGGTAGTTAAGGGTAATATTGGCCAAGAAACCAGAAAGAAATCCTTTTGTTTTTTCCCAGTGTGCTATGGAATCCTGTACATGAACCCTGAGTAGGTGGGGCTTCAGTTTAATGACTTAAATGAAAGACAGACCTTCAATAGTGCAGCAGTCTCAGTTTACGGAGACAAGTTTTTAAATGTGAAAATAAATGTATGTCAAGAACTAAGCATTACTTAACATGATTTATGCCGTGCTTTAGCAAGGGGCCAATTTCTCCACAAACTGCTTTTTGTCTCTTTAACAGGACAGATGGCATTCTATCATCTTTAATAAGGAGTGGAGCTACATCCACTGACCGTGTAAAAAAATGGTACATGTTTGATGGGCCTGTTGATGCAGTGTGGATTGAAAACATGAACACTGTCCTGGATGATAACAAGAAATTATGCCTCAGCTCTGGAGAAATCATCAAACTCACTGAGGTAGGTAGAAAGAAGTAATGAAACCAAGAAAAAATTGTGGGCTAACCCCATAATTTGGAAATTGGCCATGGACTCACTTACACGTACAGCTAGGCTTCAACATTATCTAGGAGATGCATTGGGGCAGGCTAGTCTGATATTGTGTGGAAAATACAGAAGGAATTTCAGTGCGCCTGCTTATGACATTTTAATTATTATTTTTGTGCTGAGGACCCATACAAGGTAAAGGACCAATTATTTAGGACTGAATTTCTTCACTCAAAGAATTGTGACATTCTGTACTCCATAAAGTTGTGGATGCCTTGTCACAGCACAATCTAAACTTCAGTTTTTAAAGGGCAATTCAAAAGTGGAATATAGGAAACATTGAAGTTAAATAGCAGAAGATGGAGAAATTTCATAATGAATTTAGGTTCCTCTTGACTCCATAGATTGCTATATTCAGTGGAGTGAGATTCTGTTCTCCAGCAAAGGGAGGATGAGACCTGCAGTTGCCATAAACATGGCTTCTAAAATAACTCCACAGAGAGGCCGGTATCCCGTCATCAAGTCACCCTTTATTTACACATGGAGTGTTCTTGAATCTAGTACTGCCATTTCAGAGTCATCTCTCAGAGTGCCAGAATCTCTGACATGCCTCTTTTTGTTTGTCAGTCAAAGCTCCCTAATTGGACCAGATTAACATATTCTATGAGTTGCAGCTGGCTGACCTCCTTGCAGTCACTACAGCTTGGCTAGAGGTGGGTGAGGAAATCAGCAGTAGCATTTCATGTATTCATGTGGGAATCGCTCTAACAAGAAACTTTTTCTCTTCCTTTCAGGTGTTATTGAATACAGAGTCCACACAATCAAGGGAATTAATGGCCCTCTGGATCTTTCTTCCCCTCTCCTTCCATCCAACCCCAACCCTCCATCTAATTCCACTTCTTGCCGTATATTCACAATACCATCTGACTTTCCCCTCTCTGTAACTGAATAATCTGTGCTCATCAAATGATGTAGCTTTATCCCTCTGTCTTTACCTCAATGCATTTCAGGCACAACATGACACTAAACTCTTCTTCCATTACCTTTGCCTTCCTGCCTCCATGACCTCCAAAACCCAGAGGGTGTTAGGCAATAGCATCTCAGCAGCTAGACAGGAATCTGAACAATCTGTCTTTACCTCTACTGAAATCACATAGGAGGAGTAAGAAAATAGAAGAGCAAGATTTTGCAGTTGCATTATCGTATGAACATGAGTGTATGAGAAAATGTTATGTTGTAAAATTTCTTTTTTAATAGAATCATGTAAATTTTATTATTTTGCACCATTTCTCCATCTTCCACATTGATGATTGCTAAGTAGCAAGTTGACATTTAATTTGGTAATGGAAACCAGCATTAAATGAAATTGATTTAATCGCTCATCGTTGGTACTTGTTGTAGTAAGATTGGGTCTGTCTCTTCTAAGTAACAGCAACAGGCTTTATTGAACATAACTATACACGTAGGATACTAAGAGAAGACATTTTACTTGAAGCCCTACACATTCAGACTCCAGTTCCATGTAATTGGATGTCACTATGATACAGTTTCTTTTTCACATGCTTGTATCTATTCTTAGAAAAATGGCATAATTCCCTCTTCTCTACAACTGTGCTTTCAGTTACTTGGCCTGGGGGCTTGGAATTCCCTCCTAACTCTCTTCTTTCAACTTCTCTATCCTTTAAAGATGCTTTTTAAGCCAATCTCTTTGATCAAACTTCTGGCATTGATTTCATTTGTTCTTCAGATGCAAGCTATTGCTCATTCCTAGCTGTTCTTAAGAAAGTGACATGAGCCACCTCCTTGATCTGCTGCAATCATTGTGATGTATGTACATCTAGAGTGCTGTGAACTAGGGAATTCCATGACATGGCCCACCATAGTAAAAGAAAATGATATGTTTTCCATTCAGGATCATGTGGAACTTTGAGAGGAGCTTGCAGGTGGTAGTCTTTTCAAGCACCTCCTTTCCTTATTCTTCATGATTATAGAGCTGTTAATTGTATACCATAGAATCCATACAGTGTGGAAGCAAACCATTCAGCCCCTTGGGTCCACAAAGATCCTCTGAAGACCTTCCCACCCAGAGCTACCCCTCTACCCTATCCCTGTAATCCTGCATTTCCCATGGCTAATCCACCTAGTTTACATATTTATGGACACAATGGGCAATTTAGCATGGCCAATCCACCTAACTTGCACATCTTTAGACTGTAGGAGGAAACCAGAGCACTCAGAGGAAACCCACGCAGACATGGGAAGAATGTACAAACTCCACACAGTCACCCGAGATTGGAATTGAACCAGGGTCCCTGGCGCTGTCAGGTCCACTGAACTATTGGGCCACCCTCTACCCTTGTCCCCCATCAGCTGGGTACTTAATTATATTCAGGTAGTGTGCATTGACTGGGGACTCATCTGTGTTTTTAAAGGAGCAGTTTAAAGCTGTGGTTGTGAGGTTGGTGATGTACAATATGTGTCCCTGCAAATAAAAGCTGATCAAAAAATATGATTTATCTTTCACCACCTGGTTATTAAATTTTAATATGGTGGCAGATGATGGTTGCCTGAAAGTGAAATTAGAAGCTGTGATATCTTTCTAAATGTTAAACTAAAACCCAAGCAGCCATTTGTGCAAAACGGAAGTTTAATTTGTCAGGGTCTCATTACCCTCTGATGTTCTCTGAGTCTGAATCACATGGCTAGTGGAGGAGATTGATGTGTAGGTTACTACTCTACTAAAAAGAACACAATAATTGTATTGGTATTATAAAAACAGAAAATGCTGGATCAACAGATCTGGCAGCATCTGTGAAGAGAGAAATAGAGGTAATGTTTTACTTCCAAAGACTATTCTTTGGAACTCAGGTTTGGAACTATGTTATCATTTCTGCAGTAAGTTCAGAAGTAAAATATTTCCTGAGATGCAGTAAGTTGGAAATTGCTGAAATTTTGGAGCTCATAATAGAATTCATGGATGAAATCTAAAAGAAAGATGACCTGTTAAATGCATATGAAAACCTGAAGTAATGATCATCATGCCTTGCCAGTAGCTGTTAAAGTCAAAGTAGCTTTTAACTTCTTCATTTCTGGATCCTTCCAAGGATCAGTAGTGGACTTTGGCAGTATCTCACAGTGATAGCAAATCTTACATGTGCAGGTCACTGACACTCTATTTACAAATGCTCGGTGGTACACACAATTTCACATAGATAAGCCACAAAGGGCAGTCAATTTCACCTCCAACATTGAATTCCAAAAGGTGCAAGACATCATTGACTTCAAACAGAAAATCCTGTCATTGCTGTTAAATACATCTTCAATTTCTTTTATTTCTCTCATCACATTCCTTTCTTCTTTTAATATTACAACAGCTTCCATTTAAGTTGCTCCTGCCTCCACCTAATCACTTTAAAGTTCATTCTTTTTCTATTATTGTGTATTTTTTCCCTCTCTGCATCCTCTTTCCCTGGCTATTCCCTCTCAAGCTATCTGGCTGTAACATCATCTGATCCTAGTGAATAGTCATTGAACTAAAACTTTAATTTTTCCCGCCTATCTCACGGAGGTGGCTAACCTGCTGAATAATTCCATTTTTGTTGAAATGTTTGAATGCAATACCACCAGTTCACAAAATAAAATTTTGAATAAATGCAAGACATATATTTTGTGTCTTGGAACCCAACATGAGAGTAAGAAAGCACTAAGTAATCTTTGTATTTTTATTTTTGAGGTGATGACAATGATGTTTGAAGTGCAGGATTTGGCAGTGGCCTCTCCTGCCACCGTGTCTCGCTGTGGGATGGTCTACTTGGAGCCTAGTATTTTGGGATTGAAGCCATTTACTGAATGCTGGCTGAGACAAGTTCCCCCAACCATAGAACCATTTAAGGGTCAACTGGAATCTCTCTTTCACCGTTTTCTGGAGGTCAGCAAATAATTTGACATTGAAGAACCTCGGAAGTTGTGTTATTGTACTTGAATATTTACAAGGTTGGTTGTGATTAACCGTGTAGACCCGGAGCACAGTAATGGCGAATGGAGTTGCACAACCTCTGTATCGAAAGGTCAAAGCTAGAGAGTGACCAGGTGGTCTATCTGTCTTCATTCTGTGAAAAATAATGCATTCACTTTAGAATTCATAACATTTGAAGCAACACTATTACCAAAAGCATTTCCATTGTTTAAGCATGAATGTGGAAGGTGGAGGCAAAAGTGTAGGGTTCTTAGTTGAATCAGTATGGTTTCTTATATTGTAATGCAATTAGAAAGAAGACTGAAAAGAAGGAAGAATTGTTTGACACTGTATGACTAGTGAATAGTGACCTTAAAGTAAATCTTGGCAAGATCAGGAATATATGAGCTCCCATAGACTTTAATGGCAGGACTTCAAAATAAATCTTTCTTCCTTTTCCCCCATGGTAACCAACCAGATTGAGGCATGGCAACATTAAATTAAAATCAGGTTCTTAATTGTCTTGAGGGATGCTGATTTAAATATGTTAATGAAGGTGCCTGTTTCTCAAAGATGGGACATTTGCACAACACAAATATGGCACTGTCAATAGGGCAATAAGCATGCATATGATTGGTTGAGGATACCTTCCCTGTTCTTACATGTTTCACCCCCACCCCAGACACCTCACAACCCCTATTGCCTATATACAGCCCTCGTGTCTGTCACAGAAAAGTTAGTATCAAGCTCTTGTTAGTTAACAAATAGTTAATATGCAGATCACTAGCCAGAGTCTGTAGTTCATAGGCGTAGTGATAAAATTGTACAGCACAGAAAGAGGCCGTTCAGCCTATTGTGTATGTCAGCACTTTGAAACAATTATCCAATTAGTTTCATTTATCCAGCTCAAGATCTACAGCCCTACAATGTTTCTTTTTCAGCTATGTAATACCCCTTTTGTAAGGTAATTCAGGTCATAAGACAACAAGGTGCAGGGCTGGATGAACACAGCAGGCCAAGCAGCATCATAGGAGCAGAAAGGCTGACGTTTCGGGCCTAGACCCTTCATCAGAAAAGGGGGAGGGGAAGGAGGTTCTGAAATAAATAGGGAGAGAGTGGGAGGCGGATAGAAGATGGATAGAGGAGAAGATAGGTGGAGAGGAAACAAACAGGTCAAAGAGGCGGGGATGGGGCCAGTAAAGGTGAGTGTAGGTGGGGAGTTAGGGAGGGGATAGGTCAGTCCAGGGAGGACGGACAGGTCAAGGGGGCGGGATGAGGTTAGTAGGTAGGAGATGGGGGTGCGGCTTGAGGTGGGAGGAGGGGATAGGTGGGAGGAAGAACAGGTTAGGGAGGCGGGGACGAGCTGGACTGGTTTTGGGATGCGGTAGGGGGAGGGGAGATTTTGAAGCTTGTGAAATCCACATTGATACCATTGGGCTGCAGGGTTCCCAAGCGGAATATGAGTTGCTGTTCCTGCAACCTTCGGGTGGCATCGTTGTGGCACTGCAGGAGGCCCAGGATGGACATGTCGTCTGAGGAATGGGAGGGGGAGTTGAAATGGTTCGCGACTGGGAGGTGCAGTTGTTTATTGCGAACCGAGCGTAGGTGTTCTGCAAAGCGGTCCCCGAGCCTCCGCTTGGTTTCCCCGATGTAGAGGAGGCCACACTGGGTACAGCGGATGCAGTATACCACATTGGCAGATGTGCAGGTGAACATCTGCTTGATGTGGAAAGTCTTCTTGGGGCCTGGGATGGGGGTGAGGGAGGAGGTATGGGGGCAGGTGTAGCACTTCCTGCGGTTGCAGGGAAAAGTGCCGGGTGTGGTGGGGCTGCACGGGAGTGTGGAGAGGATCCACAACCTGAACCCTCAATTCTACTCAGCTTTATTGGACACTAAAAACCATAAGTACAGTAAACTTACTGGTGCCTACCACCCAAAATGGGCTTCCTCCACCCCCCAAATCCCCAGCCGTACCCAGGACCTTCCCCACAATGTGCCCGCCACCATTGGCCATGAGGCCACTGTCGGAGAACCCACAGATGACATCACATCCGCCACCGCCGGGTTCCCCACTTCCGGGACAGCGAACGCCATCGCTGCCGATGCCACCGCCTCCATTTCCGAGACCAACACCACCGACACTGAAGTTGCGCCTACTGTCACCGCTACTGCCGCCGCCTACCCCGCTCCCCCCACCGCCGACGCCGCTCCGCCCATCACCGACGCGGACGCAACTCCACCCACCGCCGACGCCGCTCTGCCCACCGCCGACGCTGACGCAACTCCGCCTACAGCCGACGCCGGCGCAACTCCGCCCACAGCCGACGCTGATGTCGCTCTGCCCACAGCCTCCACAGCTATCTCCAGAGGGGACAATAGCACCCAGCCCTGCCGAGTCTTCACCATCCCCCCAGACCTATCCCTTACTGAGGACGAACGGTCAGTCCTCAGTAAAGGGCTCACCTTTGTCCCCCTCCACCCACAGATCAACGAATACTGCTCACGCTTGGACATAGAGCAGTTTTTCCACCGCCTCCGCCTCCACGCTTACTTCTTCAACCGTGAGCCTAACCCTCCCTCTACTGACCCCTTCTCCCGCTTCCAACACACCCCCTCCTCCTGGACACCGCCCCAAGGCCTCCTACCCTCCCTCGACCTCTTCATCTCCAACTGCCATCGAGACATCAATCGCCTCAACCTCTCCACCCCTCTCACCCACTCCAACCTCTCCCCCGCAGAACGTGCAGCCCTCCGCTCCCTCCGCTCCAATCCCAACCTCGCCATAACACCCGCAGACAAGGGAGGCGCAGTTGTAGTATGGCGCACTGACCTCTACATCGCCGATGCCAGACGCCAACTCTCCGACACCTCCTCCTACCGCCCCCTTGAACATGACCCCACCCCTGAGCACCAAACCATCATCTCCCAAACCATCCACAATCTCATCACCTCAGGTGACCTCCCACCCACGGCCTCCAACCTCATCGTTCCCCAACCCCGCACTGCCCGCTTCTATCTCCTTCCCAAACTCCACAAACCTGAATGCCCTGGTCGACCCATTGTCTCCGCCTGCTCCTGCCCCACCGAACTGATCTCCAACTATCTGGACTCCATTTTCTCCCCCTTGGTCCAGGAACCCCCTACCTATGTCCGTGACACCACCCACGCCCTCCACCTCCTCCAGAACTTCCAATTCCCCGGTCCCCAACACCTCATCTTTACCATGAACGTCCAGTCCCTCTACACCTGCATTCCCCATACAGATGGCCTAAAGGCCCCCCGCTTCTTCCTGTCTCGCAGGCCCGACCAGTCCCCCTCCACTGACACCCTCACCCGCTTAGCCGAACTCGTCCTCACCCTCAACAACTTCTCTTTCAATTCCTCCCACTTCCTACAGACAAAGGGGGTGGCCATGGGTACCTGCATGGGCCCAAGCTACGCCTGCCTCTTTGTAGGTTACGTGGAACAATCCCTCTTCTGTACCTACACTGGCCCTAAACCCCACCTCTTCCTCCGTTACATTGATGACTGTATGTCTCCATCTCGGGCAACCACCTAGAAACCGATATTCATTTCAAGCCCACCGACTCCCACAGCTACCTAGAATACTCCTCCTCCCACCCACCTTCCTGCAAAAATGCCATCCTCTATTCCCAATTCCTTCGCCTCCGCCGCATCTGCTTCCAGGATGAGGCATTCCACTCCCGTACATCTCAGTTGTCCTCGTTTTTCAAGGACCGTAACTTCCCCCCCTCAGTGGTCGAGAACGCCCTCAACCGTGTCTCCCACATCTCCCACAACTCATCCCTCACACCCCGTCCATGCAATGAGAACCAAAAAAGAATCCCCCTCGTCCTCACGTACCACCTCACCAACCTCTGGATCCAACGCATCATCCTCCAACCCTTCCGCCATCTGCAATCCGACCCCACCACCAAAGACATCTTTCCCTCCCCACCCTTATCTGCTTTCCGGAGGGACCACTCTCTCCGTGACTCCCTTGTCCGCTCCACATTCCCCTGCAGCCCCACCACACCCGGCACTTTTCCCTGCAACCGCAGGAAGTGCTACACCTGCCCCCATACCTCCTTCCTCACCCCCATCCCAGGCCCCAAGAAGACTTTCCTCATCAAGCAGATGTTCACCTGCATATCTGCCAATGTGGTATACTGCATCCGCTGTACCCGGTGTGGCTTCCTCTACATCGGGGAAACCAAGCGGAGGCTCGGGGACCGCTTTGCAGAACACCTATGCTCGGTTCGCAATAAACAACTGCACCTCCCAGTCGCGAACCATTTCAACTCCCCCTCCCATTCCTCAGACGACATGTCCATCCTGGGCCTCCTGCAGTGCCACAACGATGCCACCCGAAGGTTGCAGGAACAGCAACTCTAATTCCACTTGGGAACCCTGCAGCCCAATGGTATCAATGTGGATTTCACAAGCTTCAAAATCTCCACCCCCCTACCGCATCCCAAAACCAGTCCAGCTCGTCCCCGCCTCCCTAACCTGTTCTTCCTCCCACCTATCCCCTCCTCCCACCTCAAGCCGCACCCCCATCTCCTACCTACTAACCTCATCCCGGCCCCTTGACCTGTCCGTCCTCCCTGGACTGACCTATCCCCTCCCTAACTCCCTACCTACTCTCACCTTTACTGGCTCCATCCCCACCTCTTTGACCTGTCTGTTTCCTCTCCACCTATCCTCTCCTCTATCCATCTTCTATCCGCCTCCCACTCTCTCCCTATTTATTTCAGAACCCCCTTCCCCTCCCCCTTTTCTGATGAAGGGTCTAGGCCCGAAACGTCAGCCTTTCTGCTTCTGTGATGCTGCTTGGCCTGCTGTGTTCATCCAGCCCTGCACCTTGTTTTCTCGGATTCTCCAGCATCTGCAGTTCCTACTATCTCAGGTCATAAGACATTAGTTTTATTTGCCACCACTTCCTTTGTGTGGCATGGCTGCATTGACCAATTTTTACCATCTCCTGCTGAGTGCTCTTTATCCTTGTCACATAAGAATATCCTATTGTGAAACAGGGCAATCTTACTTTCCCCCCTTTCATGCAGCAGCAAATCTATGAACCAACAATGTTTTAATTGTAAATTTGTATATTGCAAATACAATTCTGGCCTGAGAAAATACCTCAGTCCATGAAACAACATTGTATTCCCTTCTCCCACTTCCTCACCTGCAGAACTCTGCCTGTTACTGCCAAATTATGTGCTGGGAGTTTACACGGAATATGCTTTTATGACTTACTCGCACAGAATTTGCTAGAAACGATTATGTTCTGCTCATATGGAATGCAGAATTACCTAGGTTTTCAATACATATTCTACTGATATAAATGTAGACTCTACCCAATATGTTAGAGAATGATCCAGCCTCATCTCACTAGGATTACTTGTTGGTTTCTTGTTCCTCCTTTGTTAATTGACACAACATAAACAAGTTTATAGATTGAACTGTTTTTACGTGTTTTTTTCTTATTACAGGAATCAATTTTTGTTGTGCGGAAAACAGTGAAAGAGGTGATCGCCTCAGTGGACAGTAATCTTACCTGCAGTCTCCTCAAACTGATGGATTGCTTCTTTAAGCCTTTGATTCTAAGAGAGGTCAGATTATAATAGATCAATTATTCAGAATTTTATATTTCATTTTTACAAACAGACGAAAAGATACACTGTCAGTTATGTGCTTGCAACCTACCATTATGTCTATTCATCTAACCAAGCGAAGCGTAACCACCTGCAAAAGGCAGAAATACCAAGAAAAGGTGTTTAAATCAATCTAGGAAAGAAGTTCTATGCAATCTTTACAAATCCTGAGGATAATCAAATCAGATTTCGGTCATTAGGATGACTGGACTCAAAACCTATCTACCTTCTCAATGCAGAAATGTTGTTCCAAGTCAGAAAATTTTTGGTTCCCTTTTCAATGCTTGAAGCAAATCCAGACTTACTGTGTGCTAACAACTTGTTCTTAAGATCAAAAATAACCCACAAACAGAGAATCTCCTAACTTCTAACTATATTTTATGCCAAATTTTGGAAGTGTTTTGAGATGTTAGAAGTTGATGTAGAAGTAGAGGTAGAAGTAGAGTGTTATAAGGGTGTATGATTTTCCAGAATTAGTGGTTGAAGAAGAAATTATGGTCTCAGTTTTATCTCCCGTCACTTAGTGTTAACTAGGTTGGGAAGGGGAAGTCAGGGAGATGACGCTGGTACCAGTTAAAATGGTACGCAGAAACATATTCCTTTCTCACCTGACTTGGTGCTTTGCATTCGTCACTTTATCCAGGACTTCATTAAGGATCTCTGAAAGAAGAAAATCTTTGTGATATCAGTTCTAAGTTTACATTTTACTAGTTAAATGCTGTAGTCCTTTGCCTTAATCGTTTTCGACTGAATGCACCTGGAATAAAATCTAAGTGATGGTGACTGTGAAACTAGCAGGTTCTCATAAAAAATGCACCTGGTTTCCCATTGTCCATTAGAGAATGTAATCTACCATTATCCACTCTTGGCCACATGTGACCCCAGCCCCACAGCAATAAGGTTGATGTTTAATCATCTCAACAGAGCATATCAGAAATTAGACTGGTTGGATAACTCTGCTTCAAATAGACAATAGATCTGGATAAATTGAAGCACACTCAACACAGTTGATCCTGTAAAGTCCACCTTACTAATATTTAAGGATTTGTGCCAAAATTGGGAGAACTGTCCCACAAAATGGTCAAGCGTCATAGCCAGAAATAATCATATTCACACGAACTTGTAGTCTACCAATTTCTCAGTCTCACTATCCCTGGGTATGTCATGTTCCATTGGTCGGACAGATTCAACAGAAGTACAAGAGTGGAAAACCTACTTGCTCTCGTCTTAAGAAATCTACCTGTTGCAGATCCATCTGTCCCTGACAATATCACTGGAGTGACCACTGCATTGTCCACGTGGAGGTGAAATCCCGTCTTCACACTGGGGGTGCCCTCCAGCATGTTATACCACCATGCTAAATGGGATTAACTCTAATTCAATGAAGATTGCAGGAGAACATCCCACGAGTAGCACCACATGTATTTAAAAATGAGGTGCCAACCTGCTAAAGCTATAGCACATCACTACTTGCATGCTAAATAGAAGCAGCTTGTGATAGACAGAGCTGTGATCCTACAACCAACAAATCAGACGTCTGCAGATTTACCACATCCAGTCATAAATAATAGTGGACAATCAAACAATTAATTGAAGGAGGAATCTCTGCAATTATCTCAGTTCAAAACTGTGGGGGAGCCCAGCATACAAGCTGGAAGGATTTACAGCCATCTTCAGCCTGAAGTGCTGAGTGGATGATACATCTTGGCCTCCTCCTGACATCAAGAATACAGCTGAAGGCACCGTCATCTGCAAGGCCATGCGCCCAATCAACGTAAAGGTAATATTGCTGAAGTCTTGCACTCCAGGACTAGCTGCACTCCCAAGCTATATATTCCAGTACAGCTACAACACTGGCATCTACTTGGCATTGTTGAAAATTGCCCCCAGGTGCCCCCCCCACCCCGGCTCTCCACAAAAAGCAGGTGCAAACTAGGCTGGCTAATCACCACCCAAACAGTTGACTCTTGATCATCAGCAGAGTGATGGAAGGTGAGGTCAACTGTTCTGTCAAGCAGAAGATGCTTGGCAATAACTTGCTTGCTGATGATCAATTCAGGTTTCACCAGGGACTAATTAACTCTTGATCTCATGGCTGAACTCAAAAGATGAGAGTGACTAGCCTTGACAGAAGGCAGGATTTGACAGAGTATGGCATCCAGAAACCCTAGCAAAACTGGCATCAATCGGAATCAGGGAGAAAACTCTTCACTCATTGGAGTCATACCTAGTACAAAGGAAGATAATTGTAGTTATTGGAGACCAACCATCTCAGTCTCAGGACATCACTGCAGGAATTCCTCCAAGCAGTGTCCTAGGCACAATCATCTTCAGCTGCTTCATCAATGACTTTCCCTCCATCACAAGGTCAGAAGTGGGGATGTCTACTAATTTTACACAATTTTTGGTATGAGTACTGTCTCCTCAACTGCTGAGGCAGCACATTCAGGCTCAGGGTAATAACCGGCAAGTAAAATATATGCCACACAAGTGCCAGGAAATCTCCAGCAAGGAAGAATTTAACCATCTCCCTATGACATCCAATGGTATTAATGTTGCAGAATCCCCACCATCATCCTAGGCCTTAACATTGACCAGAAACTGAACTGACAGCTGTATAAATACTGAGGCTATAAGAGCAGGTCAGAGTCTAGGGATTCTGCAATGAGTGGCTCAGCGTCTGACTTTTCAAAGCCTGTTCACCGTCCACAAGGCACAATTCAGGGGTCTGATGGAATATTCTCCACTTACTTTGTTGACTGCAACTTCAAAACAGCTCAAGAAACTTGACACTTTTCAGGAAAAAGCAGCCCACTTTGCAGCATTCCATCCACCAACTTAAACACTCACTTTTGCCGTCACTGGCAATAGTAGCAGCATTGTACACCATCACTAAAGACTGGAGCCACCTCGTCCAATCAGTTGTTTAATTGTCCACCAGCATTCACAACTAAATATGGCAAGAGTGCAGACCTTACATCTGATCCATTGATTGTGAGATCGCTTAGCTCTGTTGTTACTGCTTATGTTGTCTGTCATGCAAGTAGATCTGTGTTGTAGCTTTTCCAGGTTGGCACTTCATTTTTAGGTATGCCTGGTGCTGCACCTGTCATGCTGTCCTGCTGTCTTCATTGAACCAGTGTTGATCCCTTAACTTGATGTTAAGGGTAGACTGGGGCAAATGAGGTTGCAGATTGTATTTGAGCACAATTCTCATGGATGCCCAGTCTTGAGTTGATCAATTTGTTCAAAATCTATCCCATTTAGTTAGCACAATGTTAGTGCTACACTGCACAAAGGAAGTTTTCCTCAATGTAAAAATGGGATTTCATCTCCACAAGGATCACTCCTGAGTTAACTGTTATGGGTGCAAAGAGTGGTGCATGTATGGAACGAGCTGCCAGAGGAAGCGGTGAGACGTGTACAATTACAACATTTAAAAGGTATTTAGATGGGTATATGACTAGGAAGGTATAAAGGGATATGGGCCAAATGCACTCAAATGGGACGAGGTCAGACTGGGATGCCTGGTCAGCGTGACACGTCAGTCCAAAGGGTCAGTTTCCATGGTATATGACAATGACAGATTTGTCAGTAGCAGGCAGATTGGTGAGGATCAGGGCAAATATGTTGTTTTCTCTTGATGGTTCCCTCACAACTTGCTGCAGATCCAATCCAGCAGCCACATCCTGTAGCATTAGACTCACTCGATGATAGTGGTACTGTTAAGCCACTGTTGGGGATGGACATTGAAGCCCCTCTCAGAGTACATTGTGCTTGTTTAACATGGAGCAGTACCGATTTATCAGCTGAAAGGGACTGTCTGTAGATGGTATCAACAGGAAGTTTCTTGTCTGTATTTGACCTGATGCATCAGACTTCATGGGGTTTAGAGTTAATGTTGAAGACTCCCAGAGCGACTCCCTCTTGACTGTAAGTCGCTGTGCCACCACCTCTGGTAGGTCTGTCCTGCCAGTGAAATGGTGATAGTGATGTCTGGAGACGTTATAAGGTATGATTCCGTAACTATGTCTATGTCAGGCTGTTGCATGACTAGTCTCTGAGACAGCTCTCACAATTTTGGCACCAGCTCCCAGATGCTAGTGAAGAGGAATGTTGAGGATTGATTTTGCTGTTGTCATTGCTAGGTTTCAGTCTTTTGTTTTGACTTTATAGCAGTTTCATACAACTGTGTGTCTTATTTGACCATGTTGAGCAGATAAGAACAACAGATCTCCTTCTCCAAAGGGACATCAGTGAACCAGATGGATTTTTACAACAATCAACAATGGTTTCATGGTCATCTTTGACTTCTAATTCCAGTTTTTTTTTAAAATTCAAATTCTACCAACTGCTGGATTGAATTTGAACCCAGCTCCTCAGTGTATTTCTTGAGTGTCTGGATTACTGCACCTGCGATCATAAACCGACAAATTACTTCCCCCTCTGTACCATTGTCCGTCTTCTGTGGTATTGACTCCGATTAAACAATACCACAATTTACAAATTATCATCCTTGCTTTCAAATTCCTATCCCAACAGGCTGTGGAAGTTCAGCCCTTAAAAATGTTTAAAGTAGAGATTGATAGATTTCTGATTACCAATGGTGTAAAGATTTCTGGGGATAGTGGATAAAAGTACTTGGTCAGCAACAATTATAGCATCATAGAATCCCTACAGTGTGGAAACAGGCCATTTGGCCCAACAAATCCATACCCACATTCTGAAGAGCATCCTACCCATACTTACCCCACTACCCTATCCCTGCAATTCCCATGGCCAATCCACCTAACTTGCACATCTTTGGACTGTGAGAGGAAACCCGCACAGAAACAGGGAGAATGTGCAAACTCCCCACAGACAGTCACCTGCGGCTGGAATTGAGCCCAGGTCCCTGGCATTGTGAGGCAGCAATGCTAACCACTGAGCCACCACTGGGAGAATGCTCAATAGGCTGAATGGCTTGCTCCTGTTCAGGTGGTCCTCTGCTCCTATCTCTGTAGCTCCCTCCAGACTACAACTGTTCAATCATATCTGAGTTCAATTAGAGATAGTAATTGTTCCACCATTGGCAAATATGTCTTCAACTGCAGAGACCTTCATTTCTGGAATTCGTTCATAAACCTGCCAGTCTGTTTATCCTCATTTAAGATACTTCTTAACCTAATATCTCCTTATGTAGCTCCATATCAAGATTGTTTGAAAATGTTCCTGTGAAGTATATTGAATTACTTTTCCCATACTTGAAAATGTTAGAATTCTTTACTGTCTATCTTTTGTTCTGGTCTCCTCCTAAAAGCTTAGCATCACCTAATCATTAATCATGGATTCATTCTATATTCCCTATGACTCTTCAAACCTGGTTGTTTCTTGCACTATGCAATTTAGCATTTGAACAGTGTTTCTTAATTTTAATAAAAAATCTTGTCTTTCTTTGAACAGGGAGAGAGAGGCCCTCCACGTGAGAAACTGAACCTTCTACCTGACTTAATAGAGCCCTGGTTTATTTTCTCCTTGATCTGGAGTGTAGGTTGCACTGGTGATGCTGCAAGTTATGCTGCTTTCAGCGACTGGATGAGACAGAAGATGGCAAGGGAAAAGGTATGTTTGTTTTAATTGAATTGGCTTATTGGGGTTATGAGCCCTAGCATTGGAAAGTCAATAATTTCCATTTCACACCTTTCAACGCACCAATGTAGTTTAATACTTTTCCTTAGCTAGATGGATAGAGAACTGGCTGGGCAACAGGAGACAGAGTTGTAGTGGAAGGGAGTTTCTCAAAATGGAGAACTGTGACCTGTGGTGTTCCACAGGGATCCATGTTGGGACCACTGTTGTTTGTGATGTACATACATGATCTGGAGGAAGGTATAGATGGTCTGATTAGCAAGTTTGCAGACGACACTAAGATTGGTGGAGTAAGATAGTGAAGGGGACTGTCGGAGAATGCAGCAGAATATAGATAGATTGGAGAGTTGGGCAGAGAAATGGCAGATGGAGTTCAATCCAGGCAAATGCGAGGTGATGCATTTTGGAAGATCCAATTCAAGAGTGAACTATATGGTAAATGGAAAAGCCCTGGGGAATATTGTCACACAGAGAGATCCGGGTGTTCAGGTCCATTGGCAATGCAGGTCGATAGAGTGGTCAAGAAGGCATACGGCACGCTTTCATTCATCAGACGGGGTATTGAGTACAAGAGTTGGCAGGTCATGTTACAGTTGTTTACGACTTTGGTTTGACCACATTTGGAATACTGCGTACAGTTCTGGTCGCCACATTACCAAAAGGATGTGGATGCTTTGGAGAGGGTGCAGAGGAGGTTCACCAGGATGTTGCCTGGTATGGAGGGCGCTAGCTACAAAGAGAGGTTGAGTAGATTAGGATTATTTACATTAGAAAGACAGGGGTTGAGGGGGGACCTGATTGAGGTCTACAAAATCATGAGAAGTATAGGCAGGGTGGATAGCAAGAAGCTTTTTCCCAGAGTGGGGGACTCAGTTAATAGGGGTCACGATTTCAAGGTGAGAGGGGAAAAGTTTAAGGGAGATATGCGTGGAAAGTTCTTTACGCAGAGGGTGGTGGGTGCCTGGAACGCGTTGCCAGCGGAGGTGGTAAAGGCGGGCACAATAGCGTCATTTAAGATGTATCTTGACAGATACATGAATGGGCAGGGAGCAGAAGGATACAGATCTTTGGAAAATAGGCGACAGGTTTAGATAGAGGATCTGGATCGGCGCAGGCTTGGAGGGCCGAAGGGCCGAAGTTCCTGTGCTGTAATTTTCTTTGTTCTTTGTTCTTGTTCTCACTCCTTGCTATCAAGATGCATTCATGTATGAAAAGGTCTCTGAAAACAGTACTTTATTAGATTTCCTGCAGTTCATTAACCTCTGAATTCCTCTTGAGACCTTATAAAAGTGTAACTAAGTTTGTTTGCAATGCACTTTAGGACAACACATCTGGAGCATCCGATGTGTAGAAACAGCATGAGCCGTACGAATGGAAATTCCAAAAATGGAAGATGCCAGTCCCCAGATTATTTATATAAACACTATTTGCACATTTTAATACACCTCACACTCCAAATGTACAAATATTTAGTTGTTATTTTCAGTAAATGCATGCAAGCCATATTACACTCCCCCAACCCCATAAACTTCCTGATTTTCACACAGAAATCCTGGCTAGGTTAACCCTGTCCATTAAAAACGGACATTAAAGGGCATTGATTAATAACAATGCCAATGTAAAATACTGCAGATAATAGAAATCTAATTAAATAAAAGAAATTGATGGAAATACTCAACAATTCAGACAACATCTTTAGAGAGTGGAACAAAGTTTGATGTTTCAGATCAAAGGCATTTCACTTGTCCTGGGAGAACTTAGAGTTCTTTCCAAGCTCATTGCATTGAATCCTAGAATCCCTACAGTGCAGAAAGAGGCCAATTGGCACATTGAGTCTGCACCCACCCTCTGAAGAGCATTCCACCCAGACCAATGCTCCACCCCATCCCAGTAACCCAGCATGGGATTTTTAGCATGGCTAACCCACCTAACCTGCACATCCCTGAACACTGCAGGGTAATTTTTTTTTAGCATGGCCAATCCAGCTAATCTGCACATCTTTGAACTGTTGGAGAACGTGCAAACTTCTTACAGACAATTGCCCAAGGCTAGAATCAAACCCAGGTCCCCAGTGCTGTAAGGCAACAGTGCTGACCACTGTGCCATCATGCTGTCCTTTGCTAATCTTGTTTGCTGATTGTATTTCTTTTCATGTAGCCATGCATTGATAAATCTGAACAAACATACCTGCTATTTCTAGAAACAAGCCATATACAAAAAGTATAAAAATCAGTTCCATCTGGTAAATAGGAGAACACATTCATCCTAACAACTCATTCTTATATTTGCAACAAATAACATTTTTTCACTAACATACATACATACATGAGCAAATTTGACTGTCGTGACATTACGATTTTACAGCTTTTTGTTTCTAAGCTAGGAAACTGTACCTTGATATTACTTTAGTAAATAAAACTAATTGATTAATAAAAATGAATTAATTCAATTAAATAATAATTAGCTAATCAAGTAAATAAATACAGTAAAGCAGACTTGGCAGGGCAGGGGGTGTGCGGCGCCTGCAGTATACGGTAGTTTGTGCAGAACAGCGCAATCTAGACAACAATTTCCGTGGTATTTATCAAACTCATGGAACTTCAGCTTAGATGTGTGGAGCTGGATTCTGAACCAGAAACATTGTGGGCCACAGAGGGGGAAAATTAACCCAACACTTTGTTCTGCTAGGCAATCTCATTCCTTCAGTTAAGTACACTTCTGGGTTTGGTTATATGTCAGGGACTGGGTGAGTGTGACGGCTAGGCAAGTAATGTATCCAGAATGTAATAGTAGAGGAGTCTTGGCCGTTGACTTTAACCAACAGGTACAGGGTGCCTGCTTCTTGTGTGGATGAAAACCAGGACTGCGGAATGAATGGGCGAATTGACCGTTGTGCAGTAACTCATTCAAGTGAGGGGAATGAAAAGAAACAGTGTAGTCATGAGAATAGATGCTTACATTTTTATTTCTTTTAATGTGATTTGGATCATGCATTGCCCATTCACTAATTACCCTTGATTTAGCCATTCAGAGGCAGTTAAGACTCAATCACATTGTTGTGGGTGTGGTCTCACATGTAGGCCAGATTAGGTAAAGATGGCAAATTCCCGTCCCTAAAGGACATTAGTGAACCAGATAAGATTTTCCTGCAAGCTGCACAGTTACGGACACATAGCTATTCCAAGGTTCCATGCTGGTGATTGACATCAGCACGCCAGTTGTAGCAATGACTTCTGGCTCCAGACATCGCTGCCATGGACAGAACTCGGGAGCCCCACGCAGCTTGACAGAAAATTAGAAAGAACGCAGAATCAGATAAATATTTTTATTTAAAATTCTTGATGATCATCACTGGGACCACTTTATGTTCCAGATTTATGAGCTCAATTCAAATTCCAGTAGCTGCCAAGGATGGGATTTGAATCCATATCCACAGAGCATTAACCTAGGCCTCTGGATTACTAGGCTGGTAATGTTACTACTGTACCACCATCTCTAAGCTCTTTATGGCTTAGATTGGAAGTTCCAAAGGTTGTGTAGCCTGACTACTTTCAAACTGAAGAACTCCAGTTGATGGGACAAGTATCCAGTTGTTGTGGTTCTCACACAAGCTAACACTGCAAGTTCAATTAGGAATGATGTTCTGATGTGAAACCATGAGGAGTTAGGGTCCAAAATAAAATTCAGAACCTCAAAGATAGTAATCTGAACAAATCAAAATATAAGGTTAATAGTGTGGCTTGAGGTGGTGTATAAGGCTCACTGTTTGACATAATGGCCCATTGGCACCTGCACTGAAGAAAGAAGGAAATGATCCATTGGCACAGAACCAGTGTCCTGGTGAATAAAATAATCAGGGCAGTAAACTGGGCTTTAAACTAATAAAGGAATGGGAGCATTCAGAAAAAGGTAATTTTTTAAAAATAGAAATGATATGCAAAATGGAATCATTTTTTTGATAGTTCCAGGAATTTCAAGCCAGCTTGAGAGAAGGCCTAGATGTAGATTTTTCCAGACCTTTGCCATGGCTGACAGACCAAACAAAAGCAGCAGAGTCCAAACAAACTTTCAGCAGAGAACATCGTTCCTGATGTTTAGAGAAGTCCGGGAATTTAAGCCAGGCTATCTTCAATCTAGTATTGTGTAATGAGAAAGGATTAATTAATAATGTTATAGTAAAGAAGCCTATGGGGAAGAGTGGCCAGAGTACAACAGATTTCTGTTTTGAGTTTGAAAGTGATTATGTTAAATCCACAACTAGGATCTTAAATCTAAACAACTCAGGCATGAGAAGTGAGTTGTCCAACATTGATTGGGAAAATAGATCAAAAGATATGATTGTAGAAAAGCAATAGTTAGTTTCAAAAATTAATAATAATTTCCAATAAATTCCTTGAAGGCACAAAATCCCACTGGAAAGGTGGTCCAACCATGAGTGACAGTTAAATTATATTAAATCTAAAGAAGCAGTTTATTATGTTGCCAATTAAGTATTAAGTCTCAGGATGCTGCGGATTTTAGAATTCAGTAAAGGAGGATAAAATGATAAGACCAGAAGAAATAGGAACAGGAATAGGTTTCTCAGCCCCTCTAGCCTCCTGTGCCATTCAATAGGATCATGGCTGATCAGATATTTGTTATGTCCACTTTTCTGCGTTTTTCTCATAACCCTTGATGTCCCTACTGATCAACAATCTATATATCTCAGCCTTAAATATTCACAAGGACTCTGTCCCAACAGTTTTCTGTGGCAAGGATTTCCAAAGACTCCCAACTCTCTGAGAGAATCCCTCCTTGTCCTGGTTTTAAATTGACACTCCTTAATTCTGAGATTATGCCCTCCGGTCCTAGGCTCTTCCATGAGGAGAAACATCCTGTCATAATTTACTCTGATAAACACCTTAAGAATCCCAAATGTTTCAATGAGGTGACCTCTCATTCTTCTGAATTTCAATGAGTAGAGTCCCAGCCTG